AATAACAACAACAACTTGTTCAACCATCATCAGTTCGGAAAATTCTTGTTTAGAAGACAAAATGCCAGAAAAAGGATTGGAAGAAAAGATGACAAAAAAGGGGAGGGGTGGGGGCGGGGGAGAGGAGGAGGGGAAGGTGGAAAGAGCGCCATACCGCATTCAGCATTGCACTCCTTATAGTAACACCTGCCTGTATTTCACTCTCTCTCTCTCTCTTCTCTCTTCTCTCTTTTAGTTACCTGAATGGAGTGTAGGTAGGGCTTTGGTTGACAATGAAAGGAAGCACTTATCAACCATATTTCATCGAAACTTGACGCTATTAGTAACAGCAATTAATGTCTTATAAAAACAAAAATTGTATTGAATGATGACAATGATAGGTATTGAATGATGTGGAGTAAATGAAGCTAATGATGATGATAATAATAAGTGATTGAGTGATATGCCACTATCGTTGCCATTGTTGACTGTAATGATAATAATAATGCGACATAATGCGACAATTATATTCACTGATTTTACTACATATATTGATAAAGTTCCGTTATTGCGGCTGGAAATCATTGCTCGTCCATATTTCAATTGTCTTGTGTTTTTTCTCTTTTTTGAAAATCTTAGAGGTTTTCTTTCAGCTACACCAACATTCATGATACATTATTTGAATGAAAATTCATTATCCTCTCTTCCCCCTTGTTGCACATAGTTAACAGAGAGTGATTTCTACAATTATAACAATGCATTATCATTTATGGTATCATTACTATCATCATTATTATTAGTATTGTTGAATTGATGTTGATGCCAGACTATCAGCAAATACGTATAACTTTAAATATTCATCAAAGTATTACTACCACTTGCTATTACTATCATATTCATTCTGTTATTTACAGCAAATTGTCACAAAATGAAAACAGGAAACGTAATTTATAACAATGTGCTCCATTGTTCTCGTTTTAATCACATCATCCATCCAACAATTCGATGACTATTGCAATATCAGTGATGAAGCATTCTTTACGCAATCATTCTTTCCTCTTTTATTTGTTGCGAAACAGACTTTTATTAAAGAAATTTCGCATCGATAATTGCATCATATTGAATATTACATTTCCCGAGGGAAGGATTCATACGACTTTGCAATTAACATTCTTTTAGTTATCCATTTTGCATCTTATTAATGATCGAATTAAAAATGTCACTTGTTTGAAAGCAGCTTTTACAGATCATAATGAAATTCTAACGTGTGCACGAAAATTGAGAAAAAGCTTCAATCATTCCAAGATTGCCGACTTTACAATGGAAACCTTTCCACCGAAGCACTGCTGTCACTATTTAGAGAATATACGAGAAGATACCCTTTCTGCAATCCAGTTCCCGGTTTTCCAAAAAATTGATCATCTTAACAAAAAGAAAAAGAAAACTGGAAAAACAGGTCCTATCACATTTCAGCAAGATTCGCAAAATGGCTAATAGTTTTTTTTCTTCTACCCGTCAACCCTATCCCAAAAGAAAATTCGCTTCCTCTATTTCTTTTCAGCGCTACTGTTTTCGACAAAAAAATAGAGAGAAAAAGAAAAAAAAAGAAAAAATAGAAGCAAAACTGTGAAATTACCGATCATATGAGTCGCCCTCGATAATATTAATTATGCAACGAACTGACTTCATTACAAATGGTGACTCAGATACTTTTAACATTACTAGGAGATTCACTCGGTGCTTCAATCTTTCCCTGATATATATATAGTATGCAAAAGCTAAATTACTTGAAATTGAAACCCTTCAGCTTAAATTATTATTTTGAGCAGAAAACTCGCTTCGCTCATTACTGGCAGAAAGGGGATGAAGATACATGAGGGATAAATGATGCTCAAGTAACAACATCTTCCAAAAAATTTCAAAACAGCCTTTATGTGAAGAACCTTAAAGAACTGTGCAGTCTTTTTTCTAAGTACCCTGTGCAATAATCACCGTATGGAAATCTTCTGACAAACAAAAGTTTCAGTGTTATATGTCAACTTTATTTGGTGAAACATACCGACTCAAAATAAATTTGAATTAACCTAGTTTGAGTCGTTGCATTCAAATAGGCTAGCTAGAGCTCATATTTAACGTCGAAACTTCTTGAAAAAAAGAATTATTTGCATATAAAATGGTATAGCAAGCAATATTGAAATAACTTTTGAGAATGTGAACATGACATTTGTTTAGTTATGTTTTTTACCAACAATCAGCGAAAATCATAAAGACATGTAACATAAAAAAGGAACAGAAAATATATGCAATATTTTTCCGTTATAAGTCAAGCCATCTATGAAGAAATCATTTTATTTTATGAAAAATTCATATTATGAAAGTTAACCTTCTCCACTTTCAATAGAAAGCATACTCAGCTTGACTCAATATTTGAGAACTATAATGCTTCAAAACAAACTTTCAATCAGAAAATGATATATCACTGATAGTCACAATTGTATTCCGCAATATCCCAGTTTCCAGCGACAAACTGAAATAGAGGAAAAACTCTTCGGAACAAAAAAAGTAAAATTTAGCGAACTACAAAAATAACTTTAGACATTTACCTCTGGTGCTCCCAGCTTAACACCATCTTTTTCAACAGTCGAAATTTCAAATTCGTTGTCAGCAACGCAGTCGTGATAAATACTTAGTTCCAGACTTTTACGCAGTATATCAATAGCCTGCAAAAAAGTATTTACTTCATTTTATTCGAGATTTTCTAAATCATCCAGTAAAATAAATTCAAGCAGCAGATCTATTTAACAACAAATTCAGTATAATATATCGTAATTGTTATTAGCCAAAAAAGCTATCAAAAAAAACCTGTTCTTTTGACAGTTTCCCGTCGTTCTTCCGATGTTCTGTCTCAATGACCTGATTCAGCAGCATAGCACCCATACCGGTCGCAACACTTTTTGTTCGATATGCTACGCCCCTGTGAGAAAATAAATGTAGTTTCAAGCCAATTTAAGAATGGTTTCAAGTTTTTTTAGAAAATGGAAAAGCTTAAAGAAAAAATTTCAAGAAGCAACGCACTTTTTTGAAAATAACGTAGGAAATGAATGCAAGCCTGTTTAAAGAATTTAGAAAGATCAGACATAATCAATGTTTTCTGCATGTTTAAAATGAATAAAATACTTGAAAAAAGATACCTAGAAGTAATAACACCAATGAAAGGTTCAAGTTGCTCGTTTTGATGTTGCATTCCAACAACTACCAATGTGTTCCAAAGTGGATTCATTCGTGTACGACGATAATAAAGCAACGACGTTAGAAAGCCATGCAACATTTTTGGACTTAGATCAGCACTAGGATCGTGCGATTTCAGCTCACATGTCTACATTAACATTAATTATATTAATTTGAAAACAGAAACTTATTCCAAGAAAGAACAAGCTTGGAATTATAGATTAGGCTAATAATTTCTGAACCACATTGAATAATCAGATAGTACATCTAATTCCATCATCTTATCCTATCTTTCTCAAAAAAACTCGAATACCTGTCTCTCGATGACATTTTGCAACCACTGGAAATCAGCATGATCACCACCGAATGCAATGATTACACGGTTATTCACACGATACTGACGAGTGATGTGGCGGTATCGAGCCATTTTACCGTATGAAACAAGACGATCGCTCATCAAAGCAACACCACCATCATACGCCAAGGCGCAAACTGATGTCCCGGTACATGTCGGATTTCTGAGAAAAGTCAGATAAGCTCCATCAACCATTACATCTGATAATTGACAATAGCTCTCAAAAATTTTAAATACTTGAGGCGAATTATACTTCGCAAAGCACTTATTTTTTAAAACGACTATAAAAAACAAAATACACTTTCCATGGACATCTATTTTAGAATAAAATGGAACACACATTATGAAGTCGGCAAAGTAACAGCACTTACACAGTTGCTTCGACTTCCGAAAACGACAAATCCTCCTGAGGGTACATTGCTTGAATATCCTAGCAAAACACTTCATGAATTATTACACTTGTACTACATATGAGCACAAGCACGGCAAGAATTTATTTTACTTCTTTATAACTGTTATGTGTAAACTACTCGTTTATTCAAACCATATGATGCGCTTAACTATTTTTTTCATTGAAAAACTTGATTCCGGCGAGAAAATAAAAACAAACACATGTTGGACACATCACAATGGTATTGAAACAATATTTCCCAGTAATTTCTGGTTTCCTCAGAAATATTCCAACAAATACAGGATGTTATGGAGGACCAACATGCAAAGGTTCGCGAAGAAATGGGAAGTATACCATAAAATGAAAATGAAGCCTTGGGTATTTAAAATATATCATTAAACAATATTCAAAGTCTCGTAGCACAAGAAGAATATGTAAGGAAATAGAAAAGCCATAAAGGCCTTCTATTTATTGGACAAGCATTTATTAAGAGACTAATAATAGCTAAAATATAGAACACAGCGAATCCAAACTGCGTACAAGAACAAACTTTCACACTGCATCCAGTTTAAATTTTATTCGTTATAGAAAGACGATTCAACATACCGTGCGTTCATTTCACAGAGTACAGAGTGCGATTTATGAAAAAAAATGAATCAAAATCAATGCTATAAACATTTAACATTTCAAAACTGAAAAGCGCCTTCTATAATCAAAATGAGACAGTATTAGCAGTAGCAATGCTTCATTAAGCACCGCACCGTTCTCCTTATATTGTAAATCCAAAGCCTCAATCTCAGGATGGTACAACAACAATCCTTAAAGATAGTTCCCCTCAGCAAAAAAAAAAATCAGCAAAGAAAATTTAACTTTATACACATTGAACGTAACCAAAAGCGGATTGTAAAAAACAACTTGCCAAAACAAGGAAAAATGACAGAATGCAACTTACAAGCAAGAACACTATATGACAAAGTCCGTATAAAAAGTAAGGGCAATACGAAAAACGATTGGGCTGAATTTCCTACAATTCCATGATTCAGGAAATTAGCTTGTTGCAACTGCCGCTGTACCATTACGTTCACGATAACACCACGGAATTTTCGTAGTAAAATGGAAATTGTGTGCTGAAATTTCAAAAGCATTATATCTAGTAATAAAGATTTCAACTGCAATATCACTAGAGTCGTTTGACCATTTGCATAAGATCTTGAGTGATGCTGAGAACAAACTTGGAAACTTAAACTAAAATAAAAAAAAATAGTTGGATAATAATTTGTAAAAAATCATCAAAACTAAGTTATGGTCAAAACAGTGAGATGAATGTCCCAATGAGGAAAAAATAAGTAGTACGGCAACTAAAAGCAAATCAGAGTAACCGATGGATAAGACTTTGGAGATCATGAGTGACTAATATCATTGGAGGACCTCAGAAATGAAAGAAAGACAAAATTTAATGCATAAAAAATAATCTAAACAAGATGAAAATTAGTTGTTAGTTAGAACATTAATTAGCACAATTAACTATGTTATATTTTTCGAAGTATAGAGCCTAACAAAAAAAATGGCTTTGAAAAAAGAATAAATGGACTGAAATATGAAGAAGAAAATGCTTCTAGTTTTCATTAGAAACATTTTTCTCTCTAATATATTTTCATGTTCTAGATATCCAACATTACAGAAATATTGTCGAAAAGACTCATTTATAACGGCTGCTTTAAATTTAACCATTAATTAAAAACAGGTCTTTTTTCTTTATTTGGTCGATAAAACTTAAGTATTTTTAAAAATATAATAAGAATGATGAAACACATATTTGTTAAGTTCCCAAAAAAAGGAAGAGAAATTTTTTATTGCATGAGACGAAAATAAAAGTCAACAAACTTTTACAGTCCTTTCGTTCCGTTGCAGCTCTGAAACGACAACAATTCTTACAATAAACAAATGTACAACCCTGACTGGCAGGCAAGTCGCAACGTAAACACTTCGAATAAGCTTGAACCTTGCACTGTTCCTTTCGATCTTCAATCTACAATTGGACGTCGTCATTTATATGATAAAATTTAAGATTTACAAAATTTAAGCAAGCCTTAAATGCCTTAAGATCAAACAAATGGAAGCTATGAATGTCTTCTTGCTATTAGCTTTTTAGTTTTCTTGAAACTTCCGAAACATATATCTAATTGTGTTTCGTCTCTGTGCATGTGTAACTCATAACAATTTTCAACAAAAATGAATTTGCAATGGATAAGGTAAACTTAATACCAGAAATGCAGAATTCTTTGGAAATATAAAAAATATAATCTGATACGAAAAGCTATACCACTCCGATTAACATTAATTTTCGAAATATTATGCAAAAAACAATACAATTCATACTTTTTTACTATGATAGCATAACTTCGCAACAACTGTAGATGTGCTGCATCAGTGATTACTTACTTTCCGCTTCTCACGCTTACGTAATTGCCTCTTTGAAAGGCCAGTCTTTTGAGCCAAAGCATCAAGCTCCGCTCGTCGTCGTTCACGATACAGCGAATCAGAAACAGATGAGTCATCACGTATTGGACGATAATAAGGCTTACAGATCCAGTGAGGCATCAATGCAGGAGAAGTAGCCAAAGCTACTGCTTTCACTTCTGAAAATAAAAAGACAAAAATAAAATTTTTCATCCTTCTACCGACCAGACACAGGACAAGAACTAAGAGCGTCTAAGCCTTTATTTTGTAATAATTCAATATAGAGTAGATTAAAGAACCCAAAACAATGCAACTTTATAACAATATAAAAATGCTCACCTGCGAATTCCAATTTTGCACTTGAAACAGACTGAAAAACACGCTCTTCCAAATCATCCACAATTTGATGAAAATCCTTCATAGAACAAACGTATGACAAACGTTCGCGCAGATCGCTGTATTCTAATAAACTAAAAATAATTTCATATCAGAAAAAGCCGTCAATAGTTATTTCCATAATTTTTCAGTTAATTAATTTATGACAATAGAAGTTACAACGAAAACAAATCGTCGACGTACAGCACTAACACTGGATGGAGAACAGTAAAATTTTTGCAGGCTCCAATAAAGGCAATGCCGCATTAAATTGACAAAGTTCGAACGCAAAAAATTACTAGTTGAAATAAATTGAACGAAGCGTTAAACATCTTATCGTAATCCTCTTTCAGTGTAAAGAAAATAGTTGATCACATAAGACCATCACCCAGTCAATAAATTCTACTGAACCGACTGGAATGATAGAAAGAAATGTCAGCAGTGAAAGGGATAAGTAATGACAATATAACAACCAAACCTGTGGTGGCATATGCGGAACAAGTGAGCCCGTACAGCACTGACAGTGGATTCGTAACGTTTTGCAAAATCTAGATACTCCCGAGCTGCAGTCCAATTTACTTCGTGTCGTTTTTCAAATAAATAAGGATTCGATAGAATACCTTCAGCACTCATTATTGCACTTGCACCAGTTATTTCCAAGCACCGGTCAACATCACCGGGTAGCTAAGTAACGAATGGCTGTATAATTTTTTCCATTGTTTCATTAAATTCTATATGAATCCAAGTAGTGCATATGCATATTACATATATAAAATAATTTGATTCTATCTGGATCTTGCACTCACATTTATTGCTTATAGCGATGTTTGAAAAAGACAAAAGACCTGAATATTGCCATTTGCTAGGACCGGCACATCAACCGCATTTACGACGGCACGCATAGCATACCAATCCGCTAAGCCAGTATTCGGACCTCGTTGTTCTCGAGTTCTTCCGTGAACAGTGAGCATACAAGCACCTGCTTTCACTAGGGCTCTGAAAATGCACAACTTAATTCATCATTGAAAACAAGCTTTGACGTTACAATTTTTGAGTTAAGTTTGATTAATAAAAGTTATATCACCAGAGAGCACTCCGATGAGAAGTAGAATAGATTAATAATCAAATCATTGCTTAAGTCCATACCATTTTAAGGTTGTACCAGGTGAGAAGCATTTAATTTTTGCTGACATTTTCAATTACTCAATTTTTGACGTAATTTTAATGTTGAAAGCTTATTAACCTAGCGTACGCGACCGTTTCATTAATGTCCTGAAGAATTCGTATCTTGCAAGAAAGAGGTAATCGCAAATGTGAATGCAATAATGCAACCATTTCACAAATCAATTTTAGATCTTCCTGAAATAGAAGATTATCCGGTATCATAGCAGTTAATACCACTGCTCTCTGAAATGAAACTTTATAAATTATATAAATATGGACTAACTGAAGCATCGCAGTTCTCAAGTCAAATCCCAGTCAAGGGAAAGATAACTAGAACACGCACCATGTTAAGTGCGAATCAATAAGAAACCAAATTGAGACGGCCGAATGTGATTCATCGGACTTACCAATAAATAGACTCATCTGGCTTTATAAAACTTTACCAATGTCAAATTCTTTAACAAGATTTATTTAAGCTGAACTTGAAAAAAAAAATTGAAATTAAAGATTTTCGGGAAAACCTGCAAGTAAGCGCCGTAATGTCCACGTTTAGCGATGAGCTGAGGACAACCCAAGTTCAAATCTACTCCATCGCAAAAATTTCCAACTAATTGGCAGGCGGTTAGCAGAGTCACTGGGTCATTAGCACAGAACTGTACAATGAGAGGTCGATCATCAAGGCATGTGGACAAGGCCATACGGCGATAGGTAGCATCGGTGACAAAAAGCTGTGCATGGATCATCGGTGAAAAACACAGATGCGCTCCATGTTTTCGCAGCATCATCCGGAATGCGAGCTCACTAAAATCAATTCATTCTCCTAAAATAACTTATTTTAATCTCCGTGTACCTTCGTCATATGCACCGTTACCTCACATTCAACTCGTAAAAACTAAAACTCCAGGAACCTTTCTTGACCTTTTCACTTTTGACTCTTCTGCCTATCGTTTTTTTTATCTGTCATACACTGTTATACTTTCAAAAGAATGAATGGAATTACTTTAATAATACACTCCAAAGCATTCAAGCAATTGATGTCGATAAGCTTTCAAATAATTAACTGGTCTTTGTATTTGCTGAGGATAAGTTCAGGAATGAAAATAACCTTTGATCCACCATTGGTGCCACCACACAACGAATCCCTTCAATTCTTTTTTGCCAGGATGCTTTTTTGGCCAATTTTTGCGAATCGTCAAGTTCTGGTAGATTCCCCTCATATGTGACATGCTTTCCCACGTGCAGTACACACTCATTGTTGCCATCCTCCATGTACTGAATAACGCCCACCTATAAATATCAATATTAATATATATTCTTCCTCAATTAGACATCTGTCACTGTCGCAATATTTCCACCTTACCTGTAAAATTATCGACAAAGGTGCCCAAATACTCTTGACCGCGATAGGTCACATTACACGTCAGTTCGGCAAGTCTGTTACGGGCGCTGATGCCACAATCTAGCGACTAGTCCAGGGCAACGAAATGCTGCAGTAAAGACAGTCGAAAAGTGCCGAGAGTTCCAGCTACGAGGAATCGACCTGCGACAGGTTGATTGCTTTGTTGCAATTTGAGCGTGAGAGCAAAACTGCTGTATATCGAATCGTTTTAAAATAGAAGGTTGTGACTTCTACCGGATAATCTTGATGGAAGTATAGGCGATATCCATAGTGTTGTTTTATCAGAGGTCACTCGTAGCACAATGAGTTTTTTCCATTTGGATCAACACAAAATCTATTTTTAAATTCCCACAAATTTTTCAAAAGTCAAGTGATGAATGCCTCAGTGTCCCATCATAATTCAGTCGGAAATTTCTTTTCCCGTAATGATTTGTTAAAATAAATTTTATTTTATATGGAATTTCAAAGATATATATATATTCCTATGCATTTCGAATATGAAATGAAACTCTTCGTATGAATCATTTCCAGTTTGTTATATATCAGAAAGTTGAAAAGCCTGAATTGCCTAGAAAATGGCGTAATATTACGGAATAATCATCATTTAATTATGCGGTCAATGGAAGTGAAATTTGGAAAGTAACCTCGAGTTTCTTAAAATCTCTTAGTAACTAACTTGTTGATTTAATATGAAAAACTCTCGAATTTCCCGGGATTCCTCAATGATTTTAGTTCTCGACATCATGAGCGTTTCTATATGTCAGCTGTGACGTAATCAATGTCTCAATCATATGGCTTCAGCCATTCAGGCCTTATATATCCATATATGTAAAGCTATCAATAGTTTTCAAAATTTGTTCAGTTTGTGGCATATTTGTCTTTCCGTCATCGTCTATATACATAGTTTTGCATTGGCGTAAGATTTGCTTGTCTATCTGTCTGTTATTGTCCACATAAAGGGAACAAAGTATAAAAAGATTAATGGAACATGTTTGTCTACTTCCAGTTCAGCAAATCCTACTCGATGTATGTCACTCTGTCCATTAGATTTATATGTAAAGCAGTGATGTATGTCGTAGCTTCCCGTTCTGTTTGGCTCTGTTTGCTCATATCTGTTGAAGATGTTGAAGTGTTATTTTTCGACCCGATAAATGATCCGATAAGTGTCGACATGATAAACACACTCTGCAATGATGGAAGTAAACATGTCTGTCAGTCGTCACTTACCTTTTAATTTTATGATATTCTTAATAGACGGAGAAATGGAAGGCATGAACGGAGTGTTAATTCCGGAATCTCTGAGTAATTTGCTATCATTTTTTCATTCCTTCTCTTCAGGAATTCAGTCAGTAAACAGCTATGGGAAGACGACCATTCACAGATGTCGAATGGCGACATAGTTTGCAGTGTTGGAGAATGTGGGATGCTCAACGAAAACGTTTATGTGAGAATAATACTTATCGAGTATTGAAGCGAGCAAGAAATCGCGAAGCACGTCGTAGGCAACGGGAAAATCCTAAATTTCGAGAACAGGGAGCACGCTTATTATGTACGTCCTCATATTATAACATTTGCTGATAGCATATGAGTAGCTAGAATTATGCATAAACGATGTAAAAAATCAGTCTTGAAAACTTCCGTGACAAGTATTATGCAGTAAAGGAGCTTTTGTTCTCAGAATGACTCATCGAACATATTCTTGATCTTTTGATTGCTTCAGATGTCTTTTTCTTCCACAGCAACCAATGAAGTATCGTATGCGATTCGTGTGGCTTAATTCTGAAAATGTGAAAACTCTTCGAGCACATCGTGCAAGGTTCCATTCCAGATAGGTGCTTTGTTTATTCACTTATCATTAATTTTTATCAAATAAAAGGAGGTCCCACAGATCTTTGACTCTAACTTTAGACGTTAAATTGGTACTTATATCCACAGACCGGATTGTTCAGTCCAACAGATCTAGTTCAACATTTGTTTATGAGCTCAAGGCGGCTGTCAGTTGTTATTCATTAGGAGAAGCAGATATTTATCATATAATAATTCTATGTCGTTATTCTCGTTTAAATTGTTGATTAGTTCTTTGAGCAGCAAAATATTAGCTGTACATCTTTTTGCAGTATTTTTTCGTGCATAAAATTAGATTATGCAAATTAGATTTTGTTACAGAGGACCTCCTTAGAGAGTATTTTCAAGTCTCTCAAAGGATGTGCCACCGTTTAACGATAACAGCGCTATCAGTAAATTAGTAATGAATGCTATAAAAAAGAAGGTAACTTACGTTTAATTCCATCTTTATTTTATTCATCATATAATAGTGTTGTTGAGATTTCGTTGTGCCAAATTTCTTAAATAATTTCCGTGGCTTCAAGCGAAATTCGAAAATTTGGGACTTAGACCTTGATAATAATGGAAAAGCTCCGTAAAGAATTAAATGAATGTTGTTGCAGGAAGTATTGAGTGTATTTGTGTGGTTTTTTGAATTTTTTAACGCTCTTCGGACTAGCACAGTTCCTTTTCCATTTTCCTATTTTTATTTCTCTCTCTTCTTATTAGTAATGACAGCATTTTGGCAAGTAATGCATTTTATGTACTGGAAGTTTTTACACCCGAAATCATATGACTCAAATGGTAACCCTTAATATTTCGTTGACATGCAACAATTTTTCTTTGTTTAGTTTCGACCTTATTTTTTCCCTTTCACGTGCCAAACTTTTAGATTTCGCTGAATATTCATTGATAGATTTTTATGGGATTATATTTTGTGATGTCGAAGCAGCAGTAAACAGAATGTTATCATACAAGTTAAAGAAGCACCGATCTTGTGATTTATAAACACATCTAGTTATCGAGATTAAAGTGAATTAATGTTTGAAATATTGTATTTGAAGAGATTAGCAATCAGAGATAAATAAGAGGGAGTGAGTCGAAAGAAAGAAAGTGGAACAATTGTATTTGATAAGCTGTTATGCTTTTTTCATGCTTGTAAGAAACTTGTAAAAGCAGGCATCTTTAAGCTTTTAGATCGGTAGTCATAATATTGGTAGTATAGAGGACGTTCTCTAAATGTTTAGAGCACTTTAAAAATTCTTTGAAATTTCAAAAAGTATTATAATTCATATATCTGATTTAGATATTGTTATCCACTTGTAAAGGATTTTTGGCATAAATAGATGTATTGCATTAGTAATACATTTGTAAGCTGTAAGCGATTAACTAGTTATTTAAGTGCTCAGATCAGTGAGTCATTTAGAATGAATTTCGTCGGAAGCATTTCTATTATATCCTTTTTTTTCAATATGCATGGTATCTTCTTAGAAGTTGCATCAGTTCTGACGTATTTAAATATTGCACTTAGGAAGCTTTTAGGATCTTTTTGAAGTTTTAAAGACTAACAGTATTTTTGAAGCATATCTCTGCAATGCCAAAGGGAGTATTTAAAACATTACGAGGAAACCCCAACACTTGCCGTTAGATTGCCGTTAGATAAGGAGACTACTTCCGGAAATGTTGTTTTGTGTTCATTAGAAAATCCAGGTATTCTTGCTAGTCGTTGTGAAATATAACATAATTTATTTTTTTTTTATTTTTGTTATTTGTTCTTATAGCTAATATTGCTAATTATATCCACTTGCCATATTACGTGACATTTATTTTTGCTTTTCTTTTTTCTTTCTTATGTGATTGAAGGACAGTAAACATTTGTATCCAAAACTTTAATTTTTTGGTCGTCTTTCGTAATGAAATATGTTATTTAAAAAGTCTGGTATTTTGATAAATCTCAGTTATATCGTCGTGGGAATACGGATGACGCTGGAAGATGGTATTACTGTTAGAAAAGTTGGAATTAGTTAGAGAGAATTCACTATTACAAATCCATCATTGGATCTGAAATCGAATTTGAGAATCAGTTGGAGGAAATCCACTACTGCGGATCCAGCTTTGGTAGTGAATGCTTTGCAACTAAGAGAGGTAAAGTCCATTCCGATAGCCCGAGAAAGATCATATTGTGTAAAGGTGAGATGTAGTAAACGATGGGAGTGGTGTTTCGTAATCTCAGAGTACGGGCATGGGCAAAAGGAATTGGGATTAGTTAAAGATGAAATCGAATTTTAGAAGTTACGCAGAGGCCCATGTTTACGATTGCCTTGTTGAAACTACAAAATCTTTTAAAGCAGTTGGAACATTTTATATGATACTGTCTAAAATGATTACATGGTATTTCGTAACAATAGGAATATTTGCACATTCATTCATTTTGTTGTGATTTACGATATATTCGCTTCTATTCAGATCTCGAAAAAATTGGAGGTGCCATCAAAACTTCTTCATGGACATTCAAAACAATACATCATCTGAACCAGTTCAGGGTGAAGACGAAAAGTAAACAACATTGTTTACAGTTTTTCTCCACTGATTCTGATTAAAAATGTTTAGCTGAGTTAAACTGTTGTTAATTTTATCAAAGACAAAAATTCTTTTAACTTTTTGATTGAAGTTTTGTTATAAAACGATTCAACCTTCCTAAAATTTAGACCGCTGGAAAGCTCATCAAAGCAAATGGACATTGATGAATTGCGAAGGCAGTTGCAGTTATCTCAAAAACGTGAAAATTTAGCAAATCTGAGATTGACGGTCAAAGAAAAGCAACTACGTGACTTGATGGTTTATCTTTTTAATTCAAGTGAAAGGCGAAGATTCATTCTTAGGAGTTGGATACAGAAGATTTATTTCTCCTGATTCAGTATTGTTGTTAGTACCACTGGTGGATTGATCATTGACTGTAAATTCATTTCTAAGATCTATCATGCTTTACATTTTGTTTTGTTATGGATTTTATATTGCTTAAAACCATATTTCATTTCGAAGTGAAACAATTGTGGTATTCATAAGTTTTTGATCTTTACCAATTTGTAAAAATATCGTCCATTTTCACTGATCGAAGTAGATATCCCTCATATTATTATATTGACATAAGAAACGTCTGTTACATGATTTTAATGTATTTTATTCATTTAACAGGATGAAAATGAATCGATGAAGCGAAATGCGAGTGACGCGAATAAAGCAGATTGTACATTGGTTGATCAAGCAGTTGGAGTGATGTTCTCTGCAATGCGCGATGAAATTCGTAAGGCCCGTAAGGATGCTAAATTGGCAACACTTGAATTAAGAGCTCTCAAAAATGGACCAGAAAGGTAGCTGTTTTTCTATTTCATTCAAAAGTCTTGTTCATAAAAATCAGATATTGACTGCTCAAATTTTGAATTTCTTTAGCAGTGATACGAAAGCATTAGCAACACTGTGTAAAAAGCTAGAGAAAGAGAATGCCGAACTTAAAAATGAAGGGACTAGAACAACTCGTTTAGAAACTATGTTGAGCTATTGTCGAAAAACTGTTGAAGGTTTGAGAAAGCGTTGTCGAGGTAAGTTGAAATCGTTTTTTGAAAAAATTTTGCATTTTAAATGTTTTCTAATTGTTTCTTTCTGTGAAACATTATTAAATCTATCGCGGATTTAGTGTGCTAAGTCTTAGCTTTAGTGTTAACTGATTTTTAATTAGAAATTGCTGTGGTGATGTTTTTAATTGGTTAAACTAAGACTTAGCACTTCTTGGATTATTTGCAGCTGTTTTTTTCTTTTATCTTAAATGCAACTTAAAATAAATAATTAGAGATTATGGAGACATCTTGGCGGAACGTGATGAAGAAATAAAACGTTTGCAAGCAGAATTAGCTCGTGCACATGAAGAAAATACGCAGTTGCAGAAAAATGTGGTTAACATCCGAGCACTACAAGCACAAGGGGATAACGAAATTTCCGGACAATACGGTGTTATGGGCGGTATATTTTTCGTTCTGTAACTATTTTGACATGTGTAATTTTCATTTTTTCTTGTCTTTGCTTCTATATGTACGGTAAGATTAGAAAATAAAGGAAAAAAGAGTGGAAATTCATTTAAACAATTATTACAGGCATCGATCATCATGGTAGTGTTAGCGTTGTTACTAATGAAAACGTTGAAGAGGTATTTAGTTATGTTAATAAGACGAAATAATCCTTGCTCAATACTTGTGCATTTAGAGATGGAATTCCATTTGTATCAGATTCCAGTAGATAATTGTTTTCTGTCATTAATTATTTTCTATCAACAACCTATTAAATTCTCGTTTTATTTACCAGGTTGTATCAGTATCCAGTCAAGAATCAGCACATGAAGATATGGAATTTGATGACCAAGTTGATCGAGTGTTGACACCTGGAGCTAGTGCTGTCGAAGCAATCAACGTTTCCAGTCCTGAGTCAATTCATGGAGTACCCGAACCAGAAACCATATCCAGCGATGAGCAAGATGTTGCTGATGTGTCATCTAGCAAAGATTCATCCATTATGGAGGGCTGTTCTTAGTGTGACAACTACCATTTGTTTACGTCGGTCATTATTAATTTTGTGCACAGTGGGCCTAATTAGTAAAGTTTTTATATCTGCAAAAATTCCGCTTTATTTATACAATGTGCTTTTGAAGTACAGACCCCTTTTTGGCCCTTTAACTAAGTAAAAAAATGCATAAGTAAAAAATTTATTAAAAGATGTACTCATTATTTACATGTAAAGATCATCATCATCCATCAAGTGTGTATGTCAAGACTCATCCCAGTTACAGTCAAACCAAATATCAGATAGATTATCAGCTCCTGAATTTATGATAATTCTGGAAGTCCACTAATCACAAGACTTTGACAGCAGTCTCAAAAGCAAATGGTTGTGAAGAAGTGGTTCAACGAGCTCGTTAACGGGCTGCTTTTGCTTTAAATTAGAAATTATAACATACTTGTTGAAATCAAAGAAAGAGAGGTTCATAATTTATATAGCCAGGAGCGCTTAGGATCGGATGGTATGAACATTTTTCAGTTATTACTGCTGGCTAGAAATTTTGAGGACTGGAGTACTACATAGGTATAACTATGTCTCTGTGAGTCGTACTGCTTGGGCTGAAGAACGAAATGATGAACGAATTATACGGCCATTAATTGGTTGGACTGCACGAATGGGTGACATCATTTCCTCAACTTCACATTCGTAACCTTGACGTTTCAGTGTACGTAGTTTATCTAACTGTAAAGAACCAATTTTTTTTTAGAGTCGACTAACTGCTTTATATATTGTAAAATTTAACTTATCATTTTTTTTCTTTTTCTAGATAAGAAATTGCGAGAATAATACCTGACTGGAAGATATCCAAATAGTAGACCTGAAAATAATCCACTGAACAGTTTCTCTGTATGGTTGCACTGTCTCCGAACCGATATATGTCCAGAACTCCTTCATTTTTTCTATAAGGTAAATCTGATTTTTTAAATTATCCAAAAAAGAATTTAGGAAATGGCGAAAATTTACCAAAATGAAAGACCGGGTTATATTCCAGTCCTTATCACAAATGTAATATTGATAAGAAATGCGATAGTTTAGTTGAAGTGATGTAGTCTAGAAGAAATTGAAAAGATGAACCTGGATTAGGCAGCATGTGAGGCAAATTCACACCGTAAATCGCACATTCACTACCTTTATAAACCACTTGCTTTATGCCATCAATTATTGTTGAGAATGTTGGATTGTCGTCATGCGATTCCTAAAAAATATTTACATTCTGAAATGAAACAAACATTTAATAGTTTAAATGATTCTATGATTAATTGTTAACTTTCATCCCACAAAATCGTAGTGACGGCGTTATAAGATGATTGCGCTAATGTTTCAGAAGTTTCAAACTTTTAAACTTCCCAGAGCTTTATTCCTTTTAATAAATAATGATTAAAATATAATTAAAAAAGCTAACATTCAGCAATACAGCCACGCCCAATATCCCGTTTGCTTCTTTAAATGCCGCTTCTACATTCGGGAATCTTGTATTTCGATGAATGAATTGTATTTCACCGGCATAACCTACCCCGCCAATGGTATGTTCACTTCCATTCATAGGCTCCGTACCCCAGTGAAAATATACTGTCTCCAGAACATATCGTTCCGCACCCAAATGACTCACCGATAATTCAGCAGTATTGGAAGAATCAAGTTGTAACTGCAAGCTATCACCTGCATTCTTTAATCGTGTCTCACTATTCATAGGATAATTTATTCTGAAATAAAACTTGTCAATGGAATTCTCCTTATCATCCATAAATGCTTGCTAGAAAACTTAGTTTTATTTAATAAGTATTAGCGTTCAATATCTTATCGTTACAACAAATTACTATGTGTTATTTTTACCAGTCATCATTGGAAGAATGTTGGTTTTTTGTTTGATTCGACCTTATCAAATCATTTGCTTTTATAGCCTAGCCTTCTATATCATTTAACATTCTCATATCAGCACTTTTTTTTCCAAATTTTTATATTCAGAATCTAATTTTTTTTTTTGAAAACAATGTATGCACCTAATTTCTGAATTCTCAAGCGTACTGTCGAAGGCTGTAATTGTTGAGAGTATATCAATAGGTGACTGTTTACGGTCTCCAGTTACCTGCAAATACTTCATTGATTTCATTTAATAATAGTTAATGAATTAGCTGTAGCACTCATAATAAAGAAAAAATTAAAATGAATAGCGATGTTTCAAAAGAATTATCTGACTAATATTATCCATCTGACTAATATTATCCATTATCCAATGATAATCTTATTCCTGTATACAAGAACGATTTATAGATTAGTGTATAGCAGTGGATAGAACTATTATATATTACCTGCAAGATTTTGCCAAGATTATCAAGCTGAGCAGTAGCACGGTTTAAAATTGGTGCTAAATTATCCCGAGCACGTGTTGCCGTTTGCAGTACGGAATTCAACTGTGGTTTCACATTATTCAGCTGCGCTTGCACATTAGCTGTTAATTGACCCAAAAATGCCATTTTATTTCTTCCAAAATTTAACTACAATTTACACTTACAGTTATCAGATTTAAAACTTGCTTCAATTGACAAATTATCAATTATTCAATTAAGAAATCAAATAAAGCGCATATATAATGCGAAAATGCAAGGAACATATTATGCATTAAATAGTTCATCTCCTCATCTACATCATATTCGTATTGCATCGTAAACTTTTATTTATCAATAGGATATGAATACTGCAAAATTAATTAGTAAAAGAGATGACAGCGGACATTGAGACTGTACTCAAACTTTATCTTTCTCGGCAACTTCTTATCGATGAGAAGAATCATCGAAATGAATGATGAAAATGGAATTGGGTTCGATAAAAAAAAGCTTCGATAAAAGTGGAAAAGTAGATAAATAATCGAATTCCGTAATTCTCTCCTCAAATGAGATGTAACTGATTGGTTTCGAAAATTTATTTTATTGTCAGTATGAAATTATGTCCATTTTTTCAGTAATAAACATGATAACATCAATTTTCGACGTCATTATTTAGTCTCGACTCGTTGATTGAGCAGTTAATAATTCATTCAAACTACTTGATCTCAAGTGAGTTAAATTTCTGCATGAAAAAAATCGCTCATAAAGGTTTAATCGTTTATCTGCATTGTTTTCCTCTTTCACATCATCCAATTATGATGACAATAAATGAGTATTGAGTTGAGTATTTTAAAATACAATAAAATATTTCGAATTCATTTCAGTCTTAATTAATTAGTACAAAAGTAGTTTAATTGACATTCTTTTTGCGATACAATGTGAGGATGAAGCATTTATCATTTTTCATTAATTAGAAATCATTTTCTCTGCACAAATAATAGAAGCGTATATTGTTTTCCCAAAAGAACTCATCGAATTTAATTGATACGAATAATTTGAATGAAAATGAATGCTTCTTAATTATTTGATCAGTTTTGGAAAGTGATATCAACATTTTAAACATTCATAATTATGAAATAATTAACTCTACAATTTGAAATCTGTTTGCATTAAATGATGATTTTTAAGTGATATCTGGCATACTTTACATGGATGATTAAAAAAGAAATAAAGATTTCTTAAAATGAGGAAAATATTTTAGGCTAAAAAGAATGGAATGGAGAAAGAGCTGTTAATAATCGAAGAGAGAGTAAAACAATTTTGAATTTTCTTTTAATAATCATTTATTCCTACCGGGAAAGTTATTCGAGGCATCTTCTTCTATTTTTCTACATGCAATAATTAGCTACAAAGAGATCAACAGATATCAGTCGAAATTCTCGAATCTTAGAAGAAATTTCTAAAAAATTTGCAGGAATGGATGATTAAATTTTTTTGCAGAGAGTGAATTTTTTCAAAAGCAATTTAAAAAAGAAGTGAAATATGTTAGTGAAATGAGAGCTGTCTACAGTATTGTGTATACACTAGCAATTTGCTATTTTGTTCATAAAAATAACGAAAATGGTAGAAAGGAGTGGCAGCAAAATAATTTTTGTTATTTGTTGAATAAACTAGAATGGCTTTCCTTATTTGGCCATTGGGCAAAGGCCATTGGGAAACAATTTGGTAAGTGGATAGGATGGTGACTATGTGTTATCATCTAATGATACTCATTCTTGTCTTTTGAATTTATCAACAACAAGAAATAGAAATGAAAACGGGAAGTGTGCCCAAGTAAATCTTCCTCTACATATATAAGAAGCATTTTCCACATAATGAAAAAAATTAAATTAAACTTCTCGCACATTAATGGTAGAGAATGACAATCATAAAATCTTAAAAATGGAAATGAAATTAATAAATGAATTATTGCACAATATTTTACTACTTCTTTATTTCTTTTCTCCTTTTGAATTGATCATTTACTATTAGAAGAATGGAAATTACTTCAGGAATTCCTAGAGATATGTTCAATTTAAATATGATTATGATAGTAAAAATTATGCAAATAGCTTTCAAAGAGTAAAATATGCTTAGTCTGAAAAAAAAATTCCATTTCTTAGTGCTAATTAATTCGTACTCATAAACTTCGTATAAACTTTTCTACAATAACGTGACAAAAAATTTCCGGGAGCTAATTAGTAGTTAAGTTGAGATATTAATGAGAGAGGAAAGAAAAGAACGCAACAATCTCGAGAATACAACTCTTTAACCATTAACACTTTGGTATCTCGGGAATAGTTATTTCGTTTAAAACTAAACTCATACTTGTTAGCTTGACTATGAATTAAAATGATTCATTTGTTTGCTAATATATAATCTTCCAGCCTAAGTATGTGTGTGTGTGTGTGTGTGTGTGTGTGTGTGTGTGTGTGTGTGTGTGTGTGTGTGTGCCACCCATATTTGTCTATGTTGATGGATGTGAAATAATCTATGAAGCATTATGAATAGTTTGTTTCTACTTTGTTTGAATGAAAAGTTTCTTTTACAGAGAGAAATGAAAATAGCTTATTCACGACTAAAAGAAGAAAACAGATTTAATTCCATTCA